CCCCAAAACCCCAAAACCCCGTGAAACAGCTATAATTTTAGAGTCAAATAATTGGTGAGTTTGAAATTTTATAAAATTAAGATGATATAATTTTAAAGTATGATAAGCATTATCGGATCATTCATCAAATATTAGTACTTCTTGAGATGATTGTGAGTTTTGACTTAACTATGATCTAATCGAGTCAAAATTGCTATGACTGGTATTATGATGATCCTTGTGACTACTATGCTTATCTTTTTTATCGGACTTCTTTTTCTTCTTTTTGTTCTTCTTTTTCTCCTTTTATTTCCTTTTACTTCCTTCTCCACTTCCGCTCTTATTACTTTACTGGCTATCAGATTCGCTTGAACTTGAGCTAGAACTAGACTCCTAAGAACTATCACCATTAAGTCCCTTTTTCTTTCGCATTAACTTTTCTATAATTTATTCCTATTCCTTAACCACGTATTCTTGCTGCATTCCATCTTGATTCTATCCATTATCATTCATTAAGTATTCATCAATCGGCAAGGTATGATTATGCTGGCTAAAGAAATTATTTTCTAGCTTGTAGTATTGATCAGCAAAATTCTTTGTGTAAGTAACTTTAAATGGACAATTAGTAGATTTTTTTCTTGCAGATTGCCCTGCTAAGCTACAGCAAAATGATGTTGAGGTACTCATTCGATTATTTCTATCAGTAAAGGGTATGATTGCTTTGAATCCTTTTTTTGCTGCTACTGTTTTGAATAAGTGAATGAGCTCATCCCTTGATTAACTCAAAAAGTTGAAATCTTAAAATTCTGGTGTGTCTACTAATGAGTTATAATCAATTGGTATTGCTCCAGAGGTTGCTTGCTTGATTGAGAAATAATAGGTATTTTTAGGCTAATTTTCATCTGAATAACCATTCTTAGGAGGTCTACCTCTCTTTCCTCGGCGTCTTAACTTACCATTTTAAATATATGTCGCACCTGTAGCGAGTGATGGATCATTAAGAGTATTTTGATGCTATTCATTTGGTATATATTAACCTGGTTATGGCTACCTTCTAATATACTATCTCTTGACTCGATGCTGTTCTTAAAGATATCTCATGGGATCATCATAAACCATCTGCATACTTTACTATTCTCTATAATGGCCAAGAGACTGCACTCTTTGAACATTTTTCAATACAACTGTATCGCCGTCCTCGATACAATCCAAGTCTAGAATGATGAAGTCTGGTACCAGAACAAGCCTCATATCCTCGGTCCTATCAATGCTTTTTAAGTAGCAGATCTAATCAATAAGAATATCTAGGTCATTATTGCATTCTTAATAAGAAAAAGTAAACTTTTCACTTTGATTGATCATATCGATAATTAGAGTGATTGAAAGTTATTTCTCGTTTAAATTAATACTTGGCTAAGCACTCGAGAAAGAAAAACTAGCATTTGCGAATGGCTGCATATTTTAGAAATTGGTAAGAGGTTCCACTGGTATCAGGAGTTAACTCTGTAGACTTTGATTGAACTATAGTGCTTAGTTCAATTAAGCTGTGAAATCAAAGTCATCATTGATTGGCCCAAACGAAGCGCTATTACTTTAAGATGGAGGAGCGAACGCTTAATGTGAAGTTGATGGTTGCTGTGGAACTTAATAATTTTGCAAAAGTTCAGTAGCTGACATCTTTTTTAAAAGTGAGCACATATCCAAACGACTAAAATTTAGAAACTTCAATATTTAAATTACTTCCTTAAGTGACAGTTAGCAAGGTGACCTCACTGTGATAAAACAATTCCTTCTCAACTTTGCTCAAAAGTCTGGTTTTTAAAGGAAATTCAGATTTAAACCCATTATTTTTTGATAACTCATTTTAAGACATTATAGGTATATATATATTCATTACTTACTTGCAATTAAATTCAATTTTATGCTCGAGGGGTTTTGGGGTTTTGGGGTTTTGGGGTTTTGGGG